ATAGATTACTAAACGTCTCAGAGCCTTTGCCTCCTTATTCATACAATGGCGATAAAATGCAAATCTCTCACCATTGTTCCAGGGATGAAATTTAAAGCACCCTCAATAGAGTCTCAATGTAAGCGAATTCTTTTTCCAGCAAGATTTGATTAAAAAAAAAAAAAAAAAAAACCCTTAAAAACCCCAAACCAACAATTCTCAAGCTTGTGCGTACCTTCTTAAAACAGCTCTTTCCTAGGCTTTGCCCAGCTTTTAGTGTAAGGGGCCAGTGCCTTGGTACTGTGTGCCAGCGAGCTGGAGGAGGGGTCGACACAGGGTCAGAGGGAAGACCAGATAATTGAAAGGGTAATTCTCAGGTCATGATGTTTCCAGGAAGTTATTGACAAAATAAAGCTAAGAGACTTGTAAGCATTTACGGGCTTGGTTGTTTCCTTGCTACAAATTGATTAATCGTCTCCTTTGCCTCAGTAGGGTAGGTGGGAGCACTGCTTTTAGATGGCTTTCAAAAGACTTCCCCGGTTTCAGAAATGCCATACGTTGTGGAAGTGATGTTGAAAGAAGTGAATTCTGCCTTTGTAGACTAGCAACTTGCCCTACCTCGAGGCGAAAGATACACTAGAGCTTTTTTTCTTCTTAGAGTTAGCTTTAATATTCAAATCAGCTTTAACTGTTGATGGCCACATTGCCTTTATTTATTTATTTTTATTTTTGAGTGAGAGAGTGCAAGCAGGGAAGGGGGCGAGGGAGAGGGAGAGAGAATCCTAGGCAGGCTCCACGCTCAGTGAAGAGCCTGACGTGGGGCTCGACCTCACGGCTCTGAGATCACGACCTGAGGCCGAAATCAAGAGTCAGATGCTTAACCGACTGAACCACCCAGGCGCCCTTTATCTTGCCTTTAATTTTCAGAGTGGAATGGAGAGACACCAGACAGCATCATCCTTTTTGTAGATTAGTCTAGAAAGTTTGGTTTTTCATACTAGGACAGCATTGCGTGAGCTCCTGATGGGTTTGTTCAGAAAAAAAACCGATTCCTTGTTAGGAAAGAAGCAATCCCCAAATATTACAGAGTCCCCACCATGCCTAAGGCTGCATGTTAAATGCTGCAGGAGCTACAAAGGCAGGCTTCTCATTCTGAAGGCAGCACTAAAGAATTGATGGGATGTGACTGTAAGAGTTTTTCTTTCTTTTCTCTCTCTCCTTCCTTCCTTCCTTCCTTCCTTCCTTCCTTCCTTCCTTCCTTCC